TGCTGGCTTCTCAAACTCCGCTGCTCCTTGGTTCAGGGCCCCTGGATCAGACGAGCCCCCCGCTCCCCCGTCTCTTCAAAATGGATGAATCAAACCAGCCGAAAATGCGCCAAAGCCGCCGAGCAACCAAACCCACTAGGGCTTGTGCGCTCCGCCCCAACAGGCGCGCTCATTGGTGACTTGTGCCAGATGCGCCCCGCTCATTAGTCCGTTTGAATCATCACGTCTCCCAGGCCCCGCCCCGCCCTCGGATAGGCTCCGCCTCCTCCGTGGGGTCCTGTTAGTCAAGATGCTCAGAGAGCGCACGGCCGCAAAACAAAAATGGTCGCTGCACAGCCCGCCCCCTGGCTTCCGCTCCGGAGTTGCAGAGTCCTTTGGGGTCGTATCTTGAAACGACTAGAAAAAAAGATTTATATAGGGTTCAGTGTCGCTCAGTTTTAGTGTAATGGTGTTTCACTTCGTTTGCCTTGATTACCTAGAAAATCTATTAATAGCAAAACCCGTAGGGTAGGCAGCAGATTCGTCATTCAGGGGCTGCTTCAGAATTGGAGGGAAATTCCGTAGGTTCAAAAAATTTGACCTTAAACCCATAATCCCCTTATCTGGGTTTCAGCATTAGCCCTCAGGGGCCTAACTGTGCCGCTAGATTAGAGAAGCAGGCTCATAATCAAGGACTATCTTCACTTGCAGTTTACATTCTCCATTCTGGACCTTGAGATCCACTTCAGGGTCATTAAAGCCCTCGCCTTGGACACTACTATTTCAAGAAAAGAAAGGTGCCTAATGATTAGGTGCATGTTTTCTGGGACCAAGAGGTGTTTTGGTTGGAATCCCAGGTCAACAATTTAATAGTTGTATAACTTCCCCTTTATGTACCTCAGTTTTCTCATCTGTACAATGGGAAACTATAGCACCTACCTCATAGTTATTAGGATTAAATGAGTTGTTATATGAAAAGGTTTAGGACAGTCTTTGGCACACAGTGAGCACTTATGTGACTGTTAAGTTCATTTTTAAAAAAGAATTATTTAACTTTATTTATTTATTTTAATTTGACCAGAGAGGGACAGAGTTGGTAGAGAAAGAGAAAGTGAGAAAGCAAGCTGTCAGGCCCAAGACTCAGACCACCATCAGCTTTGCAGGAGTCCTGCACCCTTAACCACCACGCCACTTGCCGGCCCCATTTTATTTAATTTTATTCATCTTCATTATTTTCTTTTATTTTTTTGAAGTTGACCAGAGAGCGAGAGAGAGAAGGAAAGTGAGAAAGCAAGTTGCCAGGTCAGAGAATCAAACCATGGTCAGCCATGTGGGAGTCCAGCTGCCCTAACCACCATACCACCTGCTGGCCCCGAAATTATATTTTTAAAAGATAACTCCCATATCTGGGTAGAGGTGGGTTGGTGGGGCTAGCTCAAGACACTGTCAAGTCCTATAACTGAAGGTAGCTCAGATAATTTCATTCAAACACATGAACATTTGCAGAATGCCTAAAACTCTGTGAAGCAGAGCTCAGGATTATTATGGGACAAGCTAAAGTTTATTCCTCCATTGTAAATATACTTCAATACCAGCCATAGGCAAAGGGTTAATAACCACTTCACAAACAACAAACACTTCACCACTATCTGCCTCCTGAAATTCCCTCTTTATAAAATCTGACTTTTTGAAGGGAAGAGAGTGGCATAGTCCACTAGAAGCATTAAACAAATTATCTTTGGTCTCTTCCATGTCCTCACTCTCTTTCTCTCTAATGTTTTTTTCTTTTCTAATTGGAGTTTTTTAAAAAAAATAGGACATTTGGGCTGGCAGGTGTTGTGGTGGTCTCCCACTTGGCTGACTGTGGTTTGTGTCCCAGACCTGGTGGCTTGCTTTCTCATTTTTCCTCTTCCTGTCTCTCTTTGGTCAAATTTAAAATGAATAGTAATAAATAAAATAAAATAAAAATAATTCTTTAAAAATTATAAAATGTACCATTTTAAGCACTTTTTAAAAAGAATTATTTTTTCGGGAACCAGCAGTTAGCATAATGGCTATGTCGCTGGACTCCCATGTGGTCAACCGCGGTTCATGTCCCCGACCTGGTGGCCTGAAACTCATGCTGGGCGTGTGTGTGTGCGTGACCAAGGTCCCGAGAGGAGAACGGAGGAGAAGGGATTGAGGTGTGGCCATTCCCCCTGAGGGCTGATTTCTCGCTTTCTGTTTCTCTGTATCTATCTATCTATCTATCTATCTATCTATCTATCTATCTATCTATCTATCTATCTATCTATCTATCTATCTATCTATCTATCTATCTATCTATCTATCTATCTATCTATCTATCTATCTATCTATCTATCTATCTAACTATCTATCTATCTACCATCTATCATCTCTCTATCTATTTAATTTGACCAGAGAGAGACAGAGTGAGAAAGAGAAAGAGGGAAAGCAAGAAAGCAAGCCACCAGGTCTGGGTCAGCCATGTGGGAGTCCAGTGCCCTTAACCACCATGCCACCTGCTGGCCCCATTTTAATCACTTGTAAGTGTATGGTTTTATGGCATTACATATATTCATGTTATTGTGCCACTATCACCACCATCCATCTTCAGAACTTTCTCATGTTCCCTAACTGAAAACTCTGTACCCATTAAACACACTAACTCGTGTTCACCCTTGCCTCCAGCCCTTGGCAACCACCGTTTTACTTTCTATCCATTTGATAGAAAGTGGAATCACAGTATTTGTCCTTTTGTGATGACCACTTAGCATAATGCCTTCTAGGTTCATTCACGTTGTAGCATGTTTCAAACTTTCCTTCCTTTTAAAAAACAAATGATATTTCACTGTATGTTTATACCACATTCTGTTTATCCATTTGTCTATGGATGGATGCGTGGGTTGCTCCCACCTTATAGCTATTGCAAGTAATATGTCTCTGCATGTGGAGTACAAAGTTCTGTCTGCTTTCACTTCTTTTGAGTACATTCCAAGAAATGGAATTGGTAGATCACATGGCAATTCTGTTCAGTGTTTTGAGGAATTGCCGTATGCTTTTCCATAGCAGTTATATCTTTCCACGAGCAACGCACAAGTGACCCTCCTTCTCTATATCCTTGCCAACAGTTGTTGTTATTATTTATATATATATAGTAGCCATCTTTCTGGGTATCCAAGTATGTTTCGACTAAGTGTATTATCATCTATTACTGTCATGATGCCCGTGCAGAGACTGGCATGGTGCAGCAATCACTGAGTGGCTTTGTTGGAGGTTGTTTTATTAGGACAAGTTGCTATTATATAAGCAAGTACCATTATTCAGTATTGTGAGAGGCGGCAGAGGAATTCTTTTAATTCATTAGGTAATGAATGGAATTGGCCATAGTCAACATGTCTATGCAGGTAGAAAGTTTAGAACAGGTCTTCCAGGTCTTAGGCTGGTAGGTTGGTTCAAGCCTAATATATAGATGGCCATCGAATGAAGACTCCCTCACTTTCATGGTGAGGCTCGTATTCTACCTGTCCCTTCACAGTAACTTCACTAACATCTTTCTTCCATTTGCTCATTCTCATTTATTCACTCAGTGTTTCCACCAACACTGTCTCTTAGAAAGAACATAACTTAAGACTTGACTTCTAGTTTACTTTCTAGAGGACGTACACAGAACTGTACTTACTAGAGCCTGGAAGACTGGGACTGCAATCTCGAAGGTCAGCGTCCTTAGCCCATCCCTAGGTGATCAGCCCTATATACCTTCTCAACCATAGGCTATTTGCTGAAAACTGGAGAGACACTGCTTTTACGATAGGTTAGGGTTTGCTTTCTTTTTCTTTTTGTTTTTTGAGAGGTTTTTGCTATAGAACATGAGCACTCCCCAGAAAGAGAGACAGAAAGCAAGAAATCATCCCTGGGGGGGGGATAGCCACACCACAATCCCTTCTCCTCCATTTTCCTCTCGGGATCTTGAGCATGCACACACACTCACCCAGCATGAGTTCAAGCCACTGGATCCAGGACTCAAACCGTGGTCAACTACGTGGGAGTGCAGCAACATAGCCATTATGCCAACTGCTGGTCCCTGATAGGTTAGGTTTTAGAAGCACCATTCAATAAGCCTGAAGAGAGAATATGTGTAATAAAACTATGAGAAACTTAAAAAAAAAAAAAAAAAGGCTTGGG